CAGCTATATTTTGCCTCTGGTTGCTTATTAGTAGTCCTTATGGGGAATAATTTTATTTTTAACTAGCATTGGACATACAATGTCCTTTGCCCTGAAAAATAAGTTTTAAATATGCCTCACATTCATCATCCAGTGAGTATCATTTCTTCAAACTCATCAAGCCTGCAGCTACATGGAAGTACCAGCTTTTCTGAAGATCAGCATACCAACCCGGAGTGCTAAGATTTTCTTTTTTTGTGGGGCATATGTACGCGCCGAGTGCCACAGGAATGCAAGGAATGCTCTCTTGGGCTCTTCTCTTCCATCACTTCGGGGCACTGAATCTCTCCTGTTGCAGACAAGCTTGCCTGACATGTTCGTATCTCTAAATCAAAACAGAGCTACCCACTCTATTTTAATATGTAATTATCTTTAATTTCAGACCTGTTAGCTTTAACAGCATAAAGTGAAGGGTTTCACTCTGATTCATTTTTGTTGTTATCTGTTAACAGAATACCTGTGATTCACAATGATACTTAACTTCAGCTGATGGGAGTTGGGGAGATCTGTTTATACGCTGATCAGAGTAACAAATCTTGATGGCTATAGATGTATGTCAGAGGCCTATCATACACCACAATGGAGATGGCAATGGATGAAAGCTAGAGAATTACATAAAAATACATTCAACAATTTCTCAACAGTATTTAAGAATATGTTGCACTTACACTTTCTTTAGTTGTCTGTAAGCAATATGTTTGTATTACGCAGATGCTTCTGATTTTTTTATTATCTCCACAGTGGATACAAGTCTGTCATCTATGTTGTCTTTTCTTCCTGATATTAGAATAGCTCTTACATCTGAATGGGGAATATATAATCATCAAAATAATCACCAAGGTACACAGAAAAATATTTTTAAAGTACACAATTGTTAATCACTGGGAAAACAAAACAAAACAAACTATTTTTCATGCAAATGTTCAGTGAAGTACAATATACAATATCAAATGCAGCCTTTTTGTCTTTCCTGTTTTCTGACTTCAGCAGTAGATCAATACATTTTAGAATATACACATATATCAGGATCTGCCATTCATTCTGCGTTTCCTTTTTGGTTGTTCCTTAGTCTATCTACATTAAGCAGCCTGATTTACAGTGTTTTGTTGTGTTTTGGTATTTTTTTTCTGGGGACTGGTCACATCATTACTCTACATAGGTTTCCTACCCCACCGAACAATAGAAAATCAAGAGTTAACCATGTACAGTGCATATGGTACATACATTGCTGGTAGTTCAGCCATATGAAGAAGATGCAACTCAAAATGTGACAGCTTGATATAATATTGCTTAGTAGTGTTATGTTAAAAAGGAAATAAAAACATCCTATAATTAGTCACCATTTTAAAACATTTTAGGAAATGCATTTTTCTTATAAATTGCAGGATTTTTGTCTTCCCGAATATCTCCATTTACTTTAAAGGATTAATTGAAATGGTTAAGTCAAAGTTACTAAAATGCCAAGGAAAAAATTCAGCTGTTCTGTGAGCTGACCCTCATGTTAAAAAAAAAAAAGACACTCATGTTTTCAACGGCTTGCACTTGATTGAGCCACACAGCTTTTTGTTTGTGGCACCAGTTACTGGTCACCAAGAGTTTAATACCTGGATTGTTCAGCAGAGGCCAGCCTGCTCTGATAGGGAAATAGAACATTGTCTCTTTGGGGATTTCAGTAAATTATACAGTTTCAGAAAAGTATATAGTCAGTGCAGATAAAAACTCACTGATCTCCTTTCTTTGGGTAAATTGTCACTTTCATATATCTTCTGAAGATTGGGTGGCAGCTGAAACAAATTCACACAGATGAGTTCCAGTATGCAGAACTGCCTGTCAAGTTCTTCCCAGCTCTCTTCTGGCCACTTCCCTGAAAGCATAAAAAGTTACTTTCATAACTGTGTTGGTGGAACATAAAGGGGAGCCAATCTGATGAACCACTCCATGGCTGACCTTGAGAATAGGAGTCATTCCCATTGGGCTGGGCAGAATCCAATTTAATTGGATTTTAAGACAAGGATGAATGTTTTCTGGTACAAGTAAGGCTACTGCCATCTCCTTCGAACAAGCTTAGCCTCTATGCTCAGTTTTTGGGGATGACAACATTTCCAAGAATGCTGTTCTTTTGGAATTTATACATGGATGTGATTATTACCATTTGCAACTCCATTTTTTATTGTCTTTTACAACATGAAGAACATGTTTTTGTTTTTAATGCATTCTCTAGCTACATGGCTATTTTTCAACTAGAAATCTCCAGTGTACAAGCACAGTAGATAACCACCACTCTCTATCCCTGAACTAGAAGGGTAGGATAAAAAGATATCAGTGAGTTGATACAGTCCATGCTAAAATAATTATTTGAATGTTTACTGTTGCTTTGTTGTCCTTTTGTACCTGTAAGGCAGCACAAAATTCAAAATGCTGTAAAAAAAGAGACTGGCATGTGCCACTAAACAAAATTTGTCTTTTGCTTTTTCTTACAAGGAACAAGAGAAGAGTTTGTGACTACTATGATGCATCTCATACATTTATTCAGAATTTGTCACTGCATGTAGAATATGTCACTGCATTTGGGAATATTTGTCACTTAACTTATGCTGTACCTGCAAACATATCCATCTAAACCAGCTTTAACTAGTGAGTTTAATACTAGCAGTGGCAGCTCAGGGACCAGCATGAACCAGCTGTCCAAGTATTTATAGGGTCATCTGTGAAGAACTCACAGCACACACAGTGTTCCCTTCAGCCATGCTGATAGAATTAACTATACAAAGGGAAGAGTAGCCAAAATCTGTATTGTGGGAGCACCTCAGAAGCACAATAACAGACCGCTGACTGTGCAAGGTACTGTATGAACACCAAATTATGAACTCTCAAGAGGTCAAGCCCGAGTTTCTGAAGAAAACACAAGTAGGTCCAACACAAGCTTCATTAATGCTTGTGACCATCATACACATGTACCCGTTATCACTCAGTCATGGAAATGCTAGTTGTGGTTTCTGATTGATATAGATAAAAAATGCAGTCTATTTCTTCCCAAATAGTCATCCACAATCTAATATAAGCAGGATATACATAGGAACAATTTCAGCTGTTGAAGTATATTATATCGCAGTTTTGTGAACTATATATTCAGTGCCACATATATTTCAAATGCTATATTTAAGTAGCATCCAAAATAAGGAAAGAAATACCTCATTCTTATTCATGTTTTCATGACTGGACAAGTTAGAGCCCAAACTTACATTTCTGTGTTTTGTTTTTAAACCAATATATTTCCTGAAAGAAAACACAAACTTACTCTTTCTAAAATAACTGTAATTGAGTTGTTTAAAATAATCTTTTGAAGTTTCTACAACCTAAACATTACATGATTGTGCTGAAATATGAAACAGGGAAATTGTCTAGAAGCCAATCTAGACAGGATTACTATTTATTCAAAGCTGGCCAAGTCTTTAAAAGAATTTAACTCATAAGTATTAACAATGGGTAGCCAGATAATCATTAATATCTAATGATACTGCTTTTCATAAACGCTAGAAGCTGACAAAGTTAAATCTGTTCTGATAATAGATCACGTAGAATGATAAATAAAGCATGCAATTCTCTGCAAGGAAACTGAAACACAAAAGAAGTGGGAATTTTATTTCTGCACAAAGATGTGAAATATTCATAAGAGAAAAATGTATTGTTAACTCTGTTATTAAGACCTTTCACTGCAAATGTGCTATTTTCATTATTAGGATTCTATACTGATTGCCTAATTTTCACTGTCTACCATCAGAAAAAATATTTAAGATAATCAGTTTTATTATGTACGATTGACATATTTGGCTTCGGTCTATACTAGCCCTTTCAAAAAACATGAATATATTTATAATTTTTGGCATTTCTGCAGGGCATTATTCTATAAATTAAGTTTACAGCTGGTAGCATTCTTCTGTAATGAATTATTGATTAATTATTCCACATATTGCCTTTCCTCCGTCAGCCACCAAGCATTGTTTACTGCACTGCTCGATGAGCTTGCGCTGGAAATGTTTCTTGGAACGAATCCCCAGATGCCGCATTCCCGTCATGTTTCACCTCTTTACTCTTGTCATCATGTTCTATAGGAATCGGCCGCACTCTTCCCTGCGCACTACATTGCATCGTGAATGTGCTCCAACATGATACTACCAGCACTCATTAGAAGAGCATTTGCATCTCCATTGCTTCCTAGTGACCTTTATAAATCATTCCACTGCTTCAAAAATAATAATCGTTGTGTAGCGTGTTTGTGTTGTTCAGCCTTCTTCATCCTTCAGTCACCACTTAGATCTGTTCAAAGCATATGGGGATGTGTGGGTGTGAGCTTAAGTGAATGTTTCCATGCCGTTCATACATATCCTGGCAAAGCATATTCACACCTTTATCATAATGTGACAAGTACTAGGTACCAATTTAAGTAGATAAAATCAGCTTTAAGTTCAGTAAAATCTAGAAAAGTTAATATTTTTGCTACTTACAATCAGTGATATCACACTCCATCAACTTACGTTCCATTTGTTTTTCCAGGAAGAAACCATCTAGTACCTGGAATAAAACAGCATTAAAATCTAATTTTTCCTTGTCCCAGGAAAGCATATTCCAGTTAGACCAACACTGAGGTAAACTATCAAAGCAGTCTAAGCCTACCCTGGAATTGTCCTGATTGGTCCTGACAGTTTAATGATGATATGCCTAACCTTGTGTATGCAGAGTGCCCCGCTGCATCCATCAAACAAGAATATTTGTATTAGATCATGTGTCAAAAGGTTGTTATGACCAAGTGTGTTTTCCACAGAATCTATGATTATCAGTAATGCCAGTGGAGAAAAATAAGAGTTTCTATGTCTTTCTTCTTGTAGGAAACTTGGAGAGATTCCTGTTTCCACCTCCAGCTAACATTGTGAAAATACATAGTGATAAATCCAAGTATGAAATTCATCTGACATGAAGGAACTGACAAAAATAAGCAACACTGCAGAGGTGAGCTGTTACTAACCATGGGATAGAAGTTTACCTGATGTGTTATTTGTACTACCTGGATCTATTTCTAAGACACACTCCAATAACCACTTTCCCTCCATTTGTGTGCGTAAACTTCACTGTTTGTTCTATGTATTAAGCAGATACTTATAATACTCTTTAAACATTCAGCAGCAAGCTGTGATAAATCTTCCTACTTCTCTAACAACTGGTTTGTGCCTGGAACATCCACTATCAGCCTCTTATACCATTGCTGCAAGAACATGGGAACATCCTTCTGGCTTCCAGAACAAGTTTACAGAAAATAAAAATAGAAGATTGCCCCCCTCATTGTTGCTACAGTTAGAGGAAGTTGTCAACGGGAGGTCTGCAGCCAAGCAAGTTTATCTTGTAAGTGTTTTCTAAGTCAGGAATAGAAACTGAAATGTGGGAAGCAATTGTACAGAAAGAGGTACTAGGGATGGAGATTACAATCTTGTGGGAAACCAAGTGACTCTTTGGAAGACATTCATTTCAAAAGACACGTGAACCCTTAAAGATTTTGTCACAGGGAAGTTATTTGCTCGGAATTTTCCCCTTTTTTCAATGCATTAACAACTTGAAATACTGCTGACATATGCTGGCATCTGACTGACACGACAAAAGCACTGTGCACTGCTGCAATAAAAACACCCTTGTGTTACCCATATTTAGCTTTTGTTTCTCTTTCTTCAGCTCAAGCTAGCTGGAATGGAGACAGCCAAATGTATTTAGTCCTTGGGACAAGGAAGTCCTGGCATACTTCAGGAATATCCTCCTTCAAATATGCTGGAGGGTGGAGACTGGAATCCACACGCTCCGGTGCATGTGCAATTAGCATCCACGTGAGGCAGGGCTCAGGTGGATCATTTCTCCTGCTTCTGTGTACCTTCATATTACAGCCCAGGTCCTCGTCTAACAAAAACCTTTGTGTTTCAAGGAGATGAGCTGGCTTCTGCCTGCTGAAAACAGCTACGGGTCTGTTCCTTGGCTCTGGTCCCTGCTGGGGCTGCTGGGAATTCCCATGGTGTTGCAACAGAGGACAGACATGCTCCTTTTCATCTCCAGCTAAAAAAAAATAATTTAAAAAAATAATGATTTTAACTCCCAGATAGAGCGACCTCTCTGAGTTGTGCTCGGCAGTGCTGCCAGGAAGGGGTGCATAACGAACAACAAAACAATCTTGTGCCTGTCTGTTCAGTGGCAACATCTGTATCGTGTTAGCAATGCTCAGACTCTTGAAATGATAAGTCTCTCAGGTTGAACTTAGCTGTGTAACTTCATTCCATGCATGCAAGTAGCTTATAATTCTGCCTCAAGCCTTCTCATTACTCTTGCCTTCAGGATGAAGTTAGATTCTTCTTGTCGTGGAGGAAAAGAGCTGAAGTACAAGAGAAAATTTCATCTTTAATTAATTTGTCTTGGTCCCTTATGCTTCTGAAATAATACCAGTGCTCCTGAAGTTAAGTATTCACACGGATATTTGTTATATGCAAATAGACTTTCTGAAGTTTTATTTGAAGTAGCTGTAATTCTTAACCCGTACTCCTCACTAATACATTTTTATTAAAGATCCCACTCACCACATATATGAGCCAGACAGCAGGTTGATACTCCTGGGCAAAGTAAATAAAATTGATTAAAACACACATCAGCACATCTTCAAAGTGTGAAGAGGGGTCTTTCAAGCAATAGCATCACACTTTCTTTGAAACTAGTGGTAGCGGTGTAGATACTCAGCTGGTTTGAACCTGGAGAGCAGCACTGAACCGAGGGGAATTATTTCCCTACCGTGGTTAAATCTTAAAAAAAAAACAAAAAAAACAAAAAAAACACCTTGTGGGAGTCAAGTTGCACCTCATTTTGTGAGAGCTTCAAACCTGATGCTTCCAAGGGCAGTCTTGTGGGAAATAAGAAAGGTATTTGTAGAGGGATGGAGATGTGAAGGCATCTGTTACAGACCAGTCCACAGGTTGCCTGAGCCCATACCGCAGTCCTTGCAACTCTTTGTTCTCATAAGATTTAAAGAGAAATACAAGTGCTGAACACATCCAGAGCACTACATAGCTTTAAGGCAGTAACTTACACCTCGTGGTTTTGCAATGAGCATACATGTGTTTTGTCATCAAAACCATGCAGGTATCGCATAGCCCTGGTAGAGCATCTCTTTCCCCCAGATGTTAAAGGTTAAATCATGCAGTGTCTTCCAACTCTTAAAGGCAAACGAAAGTGCTTAATTGGCCCAGATGTAGTCACTTACACAATTATAAAGCAAAATAAGGTAGCTGACATTAAAGGCCGTGGATGTGGAATCCATAAAAATGTGATAACTTTTTCCAGCTGTGATTTCCCAAACAGCAATTTTCATGACTTTTTCTGCACATCGTTCCCATGAATTCATCTGAAACACTGTATGGTGGTCAGAAAAACAGAAAAGAGCTGACGTTTCCCATTTCTCCAGAGTAGTTTCTGGGGCCAGATACCCTTCCAAGAGCAGCTAGAGGGAGATAAGATCTGAATATAGAATTTTCAAGGAAAAAAATATCCTTTTGTAGGGTTAAAAAAACATGACTAGCTTATTCACTTCCACTCCTTCACCCTACTTTTTTGTAGCATGAGAAGATGGGCATCTCTACCACACCAGAGAGCTCAATAACTAATTCTCAACATCTTTCCCGAGATGCTGCAGAGCTCTATTTTCACCAGACATAGCTGTGTGGTTACTTACCCAGTTGAAGAAAAAAAAAATGAAGAAAACAAGGCTTAATCAAAAGAAGGAAGCTGAAGCAGAACTAGAATAAATACTTGCTTTAACCTGTCTAGTTTTATCCTTTTCATGACTTGGACTAGACAGGTTAATCGCAACCTATTTGCCCAGGGAGCATGAAGTAGGTGTGTGTCTATAAAGTAGACCCCTTCCCCTTGAAATCTTCTGATGGTTTATTCAGGACAAGCAACTCTCCATCTCTTAAGAATTCTTTATTGGGCTAAGGTGACTACTGATTTCTTAGCCAGTTTTTGCCACCAGCTACCTATGCATGTACAGAGGCTCACAGAGGGTACAAAGACCCCTAATGCTGATAGACACCCCCCCAGGGCTTACTGACCTGGTTTAGAAACCACATCTCACAGAATGATCTTGGCCCTAGCCAGATCATGTCTGCTGGTCAACACTTGAAACTTTTATTGGCTTGCTTGTGCGAGGTAAAGCATGCCAAGGCAATCATGCCAGTAAAAGCTCAGCAAGAATACATAATTATAAAGATGCCTTTCACAGCTACAGCTTATTTCAGCCCCCTCACTGAAATGAGATGCAATATTACAAGAACTTTTGGTAGAACTGAGTTCATACTGGGGCTGTTGCTGTTACTGTAGCTGTTTTAATCATAATCATGCAGTTAAAGCAGAAAAAAAAAATCTTGCACTATCCTTTTAACTGAGAAGACAGACATTTTTCATCACTCCTTCTAAAATCATTTCCCTCTGTTTTGAAGTATGGTTTGAGGCAAGCGCTCCAGATCTTCTGTCAAGCTTGGGTCTCTTTGATGATCCCTTTCAGCTCCTGTTCCGCTTTATTTGAAGCTTAGTGCAGTAGGAAATTTGGCCTCATAAATTTTAGAAATGCTGTGTATTTATCTAGTATTACTATAACCTGAGATGCATTTTAATTTTTGATGTCACTAATCACTTCTTTCATACAGAAAAACATGCTGCCATGGTGTAACTATGATTTTTTTGACAGGAAAACATCAGAGAGGAACACCAGGGAAGTGTAAAGATTTCCTTCCTTTATAATGCTTACTGAGTGATACATCTTTGAACAAGTCACTGACATGTGTCCCTCCTTGTTATAGAATATATAACAAAATGAACGCACCTCACAGGAGCTTTCTGAGGACTCGCGCTTGTAAAGCCCTTTTGAGGATGAAAAGCATTATATAAGTATTGAGCGCTAATCTCAGGCATGTGGACAAGTTGTGCACATTCAAAGTAAAAACCTTTCTAATAACATCCATCTGCATCTTGAATACAAGAAAGAAATTGTAAGACAGCCTGTCAATGATCAAGGCTTTTGCATGCAGCTCACCCTACTGTTTGGCTGCTGGCTAGCCTCAAGAGTCCACAGAGGAAAATGGCTCTGAAGGAAGGAATGCGCATGTTAAGCAGAGGGCAGCTTTTGTGAAGGGTGAGAAAAATAAGGCAAACACCCTCAGCTGCCAAAGTGCTCCCTGGTACCCAGAGGAATGAAGCGAGAAGGAATGGGAGGAAGAAATGGCAGTAGGCAGGAGCCCTCTCCTCTCTAAGAATGCTAGCCTGTATGCCCTAAACACTGAAATAAAACACATTTCTACGTCGGGACCAGCCTGCTTTGCATTAAGGACATTTCTCCGTGGAGAGGCTGAGAGAAGTCAGGGAAGGATTTATTTGGAGCTGCAGCACCTAAGCCAACCAAGAATGCATGCCAATCTCCAAAACTGTATTAATGCTGCCACAAAGTCCTTCAGAAAGGTTTGTGGGTCAATGCAGTACAATCAGAGGAGGCCCTGAGGAGGCCCCCATGGCTCTTTTTCAGGTGGCATGACCTGTTTATTCAGCAGGACTTCCTTCACCACCAGACCAGTGCTGCTGGCATGCAGGGCACTGGCTCCCTGGCTCCTCTAGCACTGCATGCAGAATCATCAGAAAACCCTCTGATATATCCAATGTTAAAAGGATCCCCCTTACTTCCTATCTCCAGTCATGTATGGATTAAGTTCACTCAGGCTGTGCCCCAGCTATGCTGCAGCAAACACAGAGTTTCAGTCAATAGCCCTCCTTCACTTCCCACAGCACCTTGGTCTCGCTTTTTTCCTATGATGCTTCAGGCACTACCTACCTCAGATGCAGCAAGGTTTAATTAAGTCATATACGCAGGAATTAAACTAATAACAAGAAAATCTCCATCTATCATCATCTATTTAGAAAATTTCATCTGGAAAGCTTTCTAGTCTCCCATTAAAATGTTTACATGCAAGAGTTTTCTCCTCTAATAAATTGGAATTTACCTTTGGGTAGTACCTTTTATTCTAATAGCCTGTCTTTACTGAAAAGTTGATTCCAGTCATGACTCACGTGTTGCCTTTCATTCAAATTCCTGCCATATCCAAAAAGCCCAGAATTAAATATTCAAGCGGCTTTTAATTCACATTATCTTGCCACAGATCAATTCAGCACGACTCATCAACTAACATGATCAATAATTAATGTGGCTGCACATCATCTACATCAGGCTTCTCTTAGTCCTCTTGCATCTTCCTACAGTTTGCTCTGAGAGCCATTCGGTGAGCTGGGGCTCACCAGAGCATGCTTCATAGAAGAGTTCAGTCCATTAAAATGAAAAAAAAAATAAAATAAAATTTTGAATATGCTCTTGGAATTGTTGAGGATACAAAAGATGAGTCCTGGTGAGTCTTGGTACTATGGTATATGGTGCTACTAACCCCAGCATTTGCTGTCCTGACCTCCCCCTCTACAGCAGGGATGGCAGAAGAGCACGAGCCCTCAGCTCAGTTGCTCCAGCCCCCAGCCTGGCATCTTAACTCCAAGTTTTGCAGCTGGAGCTGAGATGCCACACTACAGACTGCAGGAGGAACGATTCACCTCGCTGGGAGCATTCTGGTCTTTGGAGGAGGGGGAGTGAGAGAGCTACCCACTGGTGTGAAACTGCCACACTGCATCCAAGCAGTGGCTCCAGCACACAGCCAGGCCCAAATAATTAGCAATATTGACATCTGCTACCAAGAACTCCCAGTAAGCAAAACATACAGGTTTTCTTTCAGCTTTTCAGCAGAAAACCCTGTCAGTGAGTTCACACATTCACTTACATCATAGATTGCTGCATCCAGCTACCAGAGTTGTTCATTTAGAAATGTTTTAAGAAACTACCAGGTCCAAGTAGGCAGCAAAGGCAGAATGCATGCTGCAGCGTTGCCTCCTTTCTGCCTCCATCTCAGAAACACAGCCCTGCAGCAAGGTGGCTCCTTTGCATGCCCCGAGGGAGTCCTGACACCTCTTGTGTGGCTGCTTCAAAACTAGATGCACTTTTGTGAGCCTTTTAAATGAAATTAGCATTCTTGTTACTGCTGAAGATTTTGAAATCGTTTGATCTAATCTGTAGTCCACCAACCATAAGGCACATGTGTTTTCCTGTATTTTATTTTTCCATGACTTATTAGGCTTTTTATATACAAATCATATCTATGCCAGTCAGAAAGGTGGCTTTTTACTCTCCTAAATAGGTACATAACATTGACTGTAAAATAAGTTTGTGTAGTGTAAAGACACACGAGAAAAGTACAGGCTATCCCCCTTCCTGTAGGGAGCCGAACAATGCCAGCTTCAGCAGATGGAAAGAAGCGCAGCACCAGGTGCAAGCACAACACCTCTTCAGCTACGCTGGTACTTGAAATGGCTAGACTTTTCCACAAAGACGAGTGGGAAGACAAAGCCAACCCCTGAGCCTGGCCCCAGAGGCAAGGTACTGTGGCCTGCCACCACTCAGTGCGGACGCTAACTGGAGGCTGCACCCAGGAGGCCCTGGCCAGGCCAGGAGGAGGCTTGGTGTGCTCCCAGCCCTGCATGATGGAGAATGAAGCCAGCTGGCTGCAAGGCTCTGGGGAGAGGCTGCAGGGGAGGCACAGGGAGGGAGGAGGAGGAGGAGTGAGAAATGGGGAAACAGGCCTCAAACAGGAGGGGAGAGCTGACAAGCCAGGCTGGGAGGAGCAGCTGGAGGGTCAAGAGGAGGAGCCAGGAGCAAAATGCGGTTGAGCAAGTAACCTGTGATGATTCAGAGCCCAGTGTCCACCAGCCTGGGTCTTACTCAGAAGATCAGAATTTGCCAGAAGTCATGCACTGACAAGCATCTCCAATCATACTCCTAGATACTCCCCATTACCCTGTAGGGAAGGTTGCGAAAAAGCGAGCTATTTTATTGATACTAAAAGAAAGCCTCAATACACAAATCAGAGCTGTCATGCATGTTTAACTGGAGTGTCAACGAATGCTGCGTTATCCCTGATTACTTGTTAATTACAAGTCTTATCAGCTCAGATGCGGTTGGAGACATACTGGGAGTCTCTGCAGAGCGTTTTTAATATTACACATATTGCCGTGGCAGAGAGGGATTGTATTACACTGTTGCAGTCCCTTTGGGATCACACACCCGTAGGAAGGGCTCATGCCCTAAGGTGTTTACAAATGAAAGAAAAAAGAGGAGACAGCAGATGGAATCAGCAGCTGGAGTATCTGCAGGAAATAAGGCAGCTCTGACAGGCACGCCAGCGAGACTTTTATCTGGGAGTCTTATTCTGTATCTTTTGCCAGCACACACACACACACACACACACACAAATAACAATAATGGGTGAACCAGAGAAAAGGAGCTCTAGAGAAGGAGCAGCATGTGCCTATGGAGATCATTTTCATGGTGTGGAGCATCCTGAAGAGTCATAAGTGATGTTGCCATCATTTTAGAGAAAGAACCCACTGGGCAGCAAATGGTAAAAAAAAAGTCAGGGTCTTTACAACTGAACAATTCCTAAAGACACATCATTTTACTTGTTAGTAGGCAGTTTCCATAAGACTTATTGCACCCATCAAGGTGTCAGCTGAGGATGTTCTGACGTCATGGTGTCAGAACCCCATCGGAGCCTGGGGGACGATATGTCACAAGGCGCCCATCCCCAGCACTCAGAGGAGGGGACAGCCAGCCACTGTCACCACGATGGGCAGAGGAACCAAGGTGCAGAAGAGCTGGGACCCTCCCCAGGCAGGGAGAGCCCACTCCAAGCCTCCCTCCCCTACTAGAGTCACCAAGGGCTTGGCCCTGATGGAGGCGAGGATGGTGTTCTCAGGTAGGTCGCAATGCCAGGATCCTCCACCCCAAAAAAAGGTCTGCTAACAAGTGCCACTCTTTTTATTTCATTGGACAGTTTGAAGCCTAGAGAGAAATCTATGGCCTTTGCTTATACATTTTATACCAAGTATGTAGGTATTTTTCAAGCATAAGGGGTTATTTACTGTGCACAAGACGCACAAGTGCACACACACAGAGATGCTGATGTGAACTGGAGACTTATTCAATTTGTAGCTTTTGTGCTCTGCTCAGCAGTTCTCATTCATTACTTTAAAAGCATGCCCTGCACCTGCCTATTGATGAAACCCCCCTCGCAGGGCTGGAGAAGAGAGCATGATTCTCTTCTGGGGGTCTGAATGAAAGCCTCCTGCTGACAGCAAGCAAGGATTCCCCCGTGTTCCTGGTTAGCCGCAATTACTGCGATGTCTTCCTACTACAACCCCATCTGAATTTCAAGCATATCAGCTTTAAAAAGCAGGCTCAAGAACAAAGCTGATGGACTGAAAAAAAAAGTATTTTTTGTATCTGAATTTGTCTTGGGGCCTGTTTTTCCATCACAGTGTGAATCACGACCATCACTAAATGATTTTTGAGTAATAAAAATTTAGAGATGATAATTTTAGTGCACTTGTATCTTGTAATAATTAAACAATGATGTTAGAAACTACTTAAATATTCTAATTCTTCCTCAAATTTCAAAATACTACAGACAATATTTGGATGGCATATATTGTTTCAAAATACAGTATATTCATTTCGTTATCACCAAATGTATGAGTATATGCCCTTCAAGTTACCCACTGCAGTAGTTTTCTGCTCTAGGGGTACAAGTCACAGGAATATAATGACTGCAGTTTGGGGTCAGATCAAGAATTTATATAATCCAATATCCTTTCCAAAACTGCTCTTAAATCTCAGTCACAATTTTTGCTTTACAGCCTCTTTGCAGTGAAAGGTGACTCAATTTGGCCATGAACTGTGAAAAAGAAATTCCTTTGAAGTTTTAAATCTATTCCTGGCAATTTAATTCTAGTTTTTGTTTTATGAAATGTTGCAATTGTTCCTTATTCGCCTCCTTCAGAACAGTTATTATTTAATAGCTCTCTACTACAGCCCCTTCAGTCACTTCAGAGACTAGAAGAGAGTAAAATTTATTCAGGCTTCCTGAAAATGTAGAGTCAAATCCATTTGCTTTGATTCCAGATTACTGTTAATTATCAGCTGCTAAGATTAACAGAGGGGCACAGGCAGATACGTACACCCACTCCAATCACTTTCAGTACCTTTTCTCATTTTAAGAAATCCTTTCTTGGTAAGAATGGGGAAGCAGAGCAGCACACAATACTCCAGACAGAGGTACAGTGCCGATATATTTGGTGGCACAATACCTGGAGGCTGAGTTGCCTTCTTGCTGTGACCCAGCATGACACCATCCCCACTCCTTGTCAGAAGGAGCAGGTAGTGGTGTAACAGCGTGGTGTAAGCTGTGCAAGTAGCAACTGGTGACAAGAACAGCCTGCCTTATCTGTTCAGCTCTTTTACAGCATTGCTAATACCATTTAAAAAAAAAAAAAAAAAAAAAGTGAGTTTTAGAAAAATGTCATGGTAGATAAACCTATTTTGATACAACCTCTGTGCTCCTTACTGAGCAAAGAGCTTTTTTTTTTTTTTTTTTCCTACCAAAGAGCCATTCTACCCTGTCTTTTTATCTAATATCATGAAATTAATGGTAAGATTGCTGTTACTCCCAGTGGATGGTGGATTATTATCTCTTAGGAGCGTATGTTTTCTGTGGAAAGCATTTTTCCTCAGAAACTAATCTTGGAGAGTGCTCTGGACCCTTCTTGCTGACTGTCCTCAATTGAATAAGGTTGCAGCAGCATTGTGTGGCACCAGCATTGCTCTTGTGAGGGATTTCTGCCAGGCAATTCTGAGACAAGAGTAACAGTCAAGGTTATTTTTAAAACA